AATATGTTGACGAGCTTAGGAGGACTTGTATTTGTATGTAGTTAGTGATTGTTTTGTGTTGGTCAGTTTATGTGAGAATAAATAGGTGGAGACAAATATTATACGAGAGAAAACTTGATTTTTTAAATCCTTTATATATTAAAAGAAAATCATTGGGAGGACAATTTGGCTGATGTGTCAACACCAGAATTATTTTCACATTTTTAAAATAATTTAATTTTAAAATAATTCTTATTATCCTACTAGCCAAACACTCTTTATAACTATTATCCTATTAACCAAACAGTCTTCATAATACAAACACTCTTAACTAAATCTATAAGATTCAATTCATATTTGTGATCTTTTATTTTATATATTTGAGTCATAAACCATATTTTTAAAGATTAAGATTAAATAACTATATTTTATTAATAAGTGATATATATTGACGAAAAAAATAAAAATTTGTTGTTTTCAATTATTTCACGAGTGTGATACATTTATATACAAAATAATTGCAAAATTTATAGAGAAAATTTTAAAAATGCCATTTTTCAAGTGCCACTTTTCAAAAATGCTACATTTTCGTAATCTTTGCAAAAATGTCACTTTTTGAAAATAAAAATTTCATTATATCATTTATGTTTGGGTTAGCTATGTTGTATTAGGGTTTAGTTTTGACGGTTTAAGGGATTTTAGGGATCAAAACGTTTTTTAGGGTTTATAATTTTAAGATTTAGGATTTAAAAATCTATAATTAGTGGTATTTTTGTGAATGGACACCTCTAAATGATATTCTTACAAATGTACACATCAAAAGTGACATTTTTGCAACTGTCCCAAATTTATATGTATAAACGAGTTATGGATTTCGTATAATAATTTTCCTAATAACTATATATTATTTTTAGACTAAAACTATATTGATTTTATTCGCATATCATATTATCCCGCGTATAACGCGGGTAACTATCTAATTATTTATTAAGAAAGAAGTTATGGAAGATGATTTTACCAAATTTAATCCAATGAAATGATTTCGTAACGTATTTTCGATTTTTCGTTTTTCTTTAATAAATTACTCTTTCTAAAATTGGAAATTTTGACTTAAAAAAAAAGAAATTTTGACTCAAAGATTCTTTCCATAAAGTTTATGGTATTAAGAAATGGACAAATAAAATAGAAAACAACTAACTTCATAGATAAATTTTAGTCACAAGTGCATTTTTCTCAACAAAATATACCATTTTATGATATTTCTCATCATTGTTTTTGAAACAATACATTTTCTATCAATAATGACAATGATACAACTAAGAGCAATAAAAAAGTCAAATTTTTGCATAGTACAATAAAATTACATACTGTATCTATCATAGCTTATATGTTTCGACCAAAAAAAAAAAAAGAACAACTTCATAGCTTATTTGCTGTTAAACTCAATTATAGCATTTAATTACTGTTACTTTCCTATTTTCTTCTTTAAAATGTAAATATAATACAGTAAAAAAAAGAATGTAACTACAGTGACTTTTCTGAAGAATTTTAACCTTTGAGAAGTTACAAAAGTTCTTGGCACTTGAAATTTTCTTCTTCTTCTTTAACCTTTCTTACTTCCTTGGCTTAGCACATCCACTGAACAACGAGAATCGTCTCTTTCGACTTCTTCGTGATCGTATAGAACTCCCTTTGATCTATTTTCAAGTAATCAAAAACGTAAAAAAAACAAAAATAAAGCTTCTTCATTGAGATTTTGGGTTGGTTTCATTTCACCATTAAAGTAGTAACATTTAGTCGATGAACTCACCTTACTTATTCTTGGAGACTTTTGTGAGTTCCAACAGAAAAGCAGACTGCAAACTCCTCTCCCTGATCCTGATTCATATCCTCTACACAAACCAAACAAGACAATTGTTTGTTATGAAGATCTCATTCGGTTTTTCTTTTACTGAATCAAGATTACTTACAGATTGTCTTTGTTGTTCGTGAAGTTAATATCGTGGAGTAAACTCGGGGAAACAGGACAATGCTCCATTCTTTTACCGGTCTGATTCTCCCGAAACCCATCCATTTCACAAATCTTCAAATCTTTAACTCCATTGTTTAGTCCAGAAGATATAGCAGAACCAATGTTGGGTTGGTGATGATGATTGATGTCTTCTTGAGGTAGAACTTGATTCCTTTCGGGTTTTAACCGGCCTTGTGAACCAGGAGTCCTCTGTAACATCTCAGTTTCTAATCTCTGTTCTTGGATGATTGTTTCTATCCTTTTCATTGGAATCTCATTCTCACTTTCTTCGCCACTACCACATTCGGTATCTGAACTAGTTGTCACTCCTCTTTGTCTGTTCTGATTGGGACTGAGTAACTCAGTTTCAGGCAAGAGAATTATCCTTACCTCTACGTTTCGCCGTAGTACCATTTCAATGGAGTTTGTGATACTGCTTAAAAACCTCTCAGCTCTCAGTTTGATCTCTCTTTCTCCAAAAACAATATAAGCAACTAGAATACCTGCAAACAGGATTCGATTAGTATGTAATTGCTTGCGTTTGTGAGTAAGAGAAGTTTTAGGCTTACCTTCAACTTCGCTGATAGATAATAGCTTTCCATGAGAATATAGCAGCTGCTTCAATGTCTTTGAATGGCATCTACCTATACACTTTATCCAGATATCATTTAGTTTCTCTGAATTTCTACAAGTAACCATCATGGTGCTTGCAGTTGTATCGTCATGCGAGGAAATGGAAGCGTCATTCTCTAAATCTTCGCTGGATGAGGTAGACAACATCACTTCATGAATGTGATTTCCGCCTTTTCTCATGGAAGCTGGGGATGCTGAGTTACTGCATTGAGGGCCTGATCTCTGTTTGTAAGCAACAACTTCTCTTGAAATGCTTGACGGCTTTTCATCACTCGCTCTAGAGCTTTGCCTTCTACTGCTACCGGTATGTGTGGTTCCAGGAGAAGGCATCAAACCAAGCTGCAACAAGGTAGCTATAAACCATGTTGACCGATCACTAGAAACTCTAAGCTGCTTCTCTGCCTCAGAGAGAAGTTTCAAAGAATGCTTTAGCCTCTCCAAATCTGCTTCAGTCACTACAAAAACATAACAAACAAGATTGGCCAAATACAATGCGGTCAAGAGAAACTAGTAGAGTCTAAGGCATCAATAAGTCATTTTTTTTTTTGTTTGTAGAAAAACCATTCAAGCGTAAGAGAAAACTATATGAATATGAGAAATTAGCCTTTGAAATTTGAGAAATTCAAGCGTAAACATTATGGTATTTGAGAAATTGGCAGTTTCATTCAAGATAATGAATTTGAGAATTAAAGCCTTTGAAATTTCACAAACTCACAGTTCCGTCCATCAAGGAAGGCGTCGCTATATTTTTGGTCCATGGCCTTGTATGCTCCAGCAATGATATCCATGATAAGACTGGCCAGTTGAGACATCATGACTATTGGGTCAGCTCCTAAGCTCAGTAACTCTCTAGCTCTCTTCACGGTCTCTGCCGTATCAGATGACAACGTTAATTCCAAGAGTTCCAGCAACTTATCATCTGAAACAACACCCACCTGCACAAACACCACCATTCACATTTACATTTACTGATCGGTCTAACTTTACCCAATGCAAAGGAAAGGAAACATAGAAACAACACCAAAACTTACTAGCTCATTTACAAGATCGGCCGTGATTCGTTTTCCCATCAAGCTCAACTGCTCTAACATAGTTTCAGCATCTCGAAGCGAACCATCAGCATTCAAAGCAATCAGATCCAACGCCTGCGATTCCACGTCAAGATTTTCATCCGAACCAATTTTCCCTAGTCTCACTACAATGTCTGCATCTCTGAGTTTGTTGAAGATATACTTCTGGCATCTTGACTGAATGGTCCGAGGAACATTTTCAAGGTCAGTTGTTATACATATGAAGACAACTTTCTGCAGAGGTCTCTCAAGAAACTTGAGTAAAGATAACCATGTCTTAGGTGGTAACAAATGACACTCATCTATAACAAAAACCTTGTATCTTGGTGAACTCTGTGGAACCAATGTCAACAGTTTTTTCACAAGATACCGAACTTTCTCAGCTCCATTCTTCTTACCAGCATCAAGTTCCAGTAAATCTCTACTTTTCCCCAACATGAAATCACTACATTCTTTGCAATACCCACAAGGTTTCATTTCTTTGGTCGCCACATCACAATTCAGGGCGGCCGAAAAAATCCTCGCAGTAGATGTCTTCCCAGTTCCTCTAGGACCTTGGAACAGATAAACATGAGCAATCCTACCCTTTCTCACAGCGTTCATTAGCGATTGAACAACTATACCCTGC